CACTGAAAATACAAACATGGAATTGTTACATTCTTTATCCCATATCAGTATAATAGATAATTCTAAATAATAGTATAGTTCTTTTAATCATTTTCACTACAAAAGTCAGTAATCTTGCTACAAAATTTTATGTATTTTGGGGCAAGATCTCAGGAACTGTAAGGATTTGGTTAATTAATTTTTGCAAAAGGACACTTCTGTGTACCAAAAATCAATATGGTAGCTGTAGTAAATTCTGTGTTATAATAAATATAGAATTTTTAAGAACACAACTGGCTGATCAAAAATGTAGAAGTAAAAATTTTATTCACTTAGTATATCCACACGTTCCTCATGTTATAAAATAAAATAAGACATATCTCAGCTGATTTGCAGGCAAATAAACTAACATACACAAGAGCAAGAGCCGGATATGAACGGGACAAGACCCTGTCACAAAATGACCATTATTGTCGTTTACGCATAGGCCCGACGCATGAGTTCCGGTCGAAAAATGAAATAATATTTTAAAGTGTTTCTATTTTTCGACCAATAAAAATGCTTCCCTCCTAATTATACTTGTGTCGTTTTACAAGCCTGTCAAGCCATAAAAAAATGCCATAAAAGGGGTCACACGGAAGTACAACAGCAGTCAACAGGAGGCCAGGGAAGAGACCTGTCAGGGTCAGGCTGAGCAGTCAGCAGCAGCCAGCAGCAGTAGTGCCACGCTAACCAGCGAGAACTACTATGAGAGATCAATCCAGATCTTCAGCCAGCCTATGAACTATACCACAAGGTAGCTGTCCCAAAACCACATGTTCCTATTGAAAAAAATCATGTAAATCTATTTCTACTGTTGTTGTATTTCTTTCTTGCAACCATACACTTGTCTATAACACTCATAAAAGAGACCTAATGTCGCCAGGTGGCAGACACCCATATATGGCTATCCAATAACAAGATGCTGGGTCACCTCAGTTGAGTCAAAGAAGATTCCCAACATGGATTCAGTATAAATTTTCTTTCAATTGTGTACTCACCCACTTCTTTTATGTACTGTGTCTCTTCAGGATGTAGGAGACATTGGCTCTTCACATCTTCCTGTACCTTGTAGCTCTTAATAACTTTTGTATTTTTATTATTTCTACCAAACCCTGTTCTGCCATCCATTCATTCAATCCCGTTAAGTATGTCATGCATTGCTTTCCCTTGGCCCTCTTTCCCTCTATCCATTCTGTGAGTATTAGATTCTCCAAGCCCTCCTTCCTCATTATATGCCCCAGAAACTTCAACTGCCTCTTCCTGATGTTAAGTATAAGTTTCCTTTTTGTTTCCATTCTCTCCAAAATCTCATCGTTGCTCACATGTTTGATCCATGGTATCCTTCGTATCCTTCTGTAGAACCACATTTCTGTTGCTTTGAGTCTCTTCTTCATCTTTGAGAGATTGTCCAACATTCACTATCATACTGGAGGACAGATATCACATAACAGCTCAGTATTCTTTTCTATGTTTCCAAGCAAATTTTCCTGTCTCTTAATTCTCTGCTTAGCTTTTGGAATGTGACTTAGGCCGTCCCAATACATCTTCGGTTCTAAGTGTTGCACTTTCCGTCCTCTGTTAGAACACTTTCCAAATATTTAAATTTATTTCTGTAATTGCTTGATTTTATTATCCCTGACCTGTAATTTACATTTTGAGCTCATCTTTTTGCTGATGACCATGCATTCTGTCTTCTTGTAGTCTATGCTTAGTCCTTTCTTCTCACTTTCATTCACTACATTCTGTAAGAGGTTTTGTAGTTTCCTTTCCTTGTCTGCTATCAACACTGTGTCATCTGCATATTGTATATTGTTAAGATTGTGGCTGCCAATGATGAATCCTGGTAGACTTCTAGTTCTCTCAGAATTGCCTTACCATATAGGTTGAATAAATCCAGTGAAAAGACACATCTTTGTCTTACACTCCTTTCTATTTTTGTATATTTGCTGAACTCATTTTCTGTCCATATGCAGGTGGTTTGCTGCCATAGATTCTTGATTATTCTAATGTCTTTCCTGAATATGTCAAGGCTGCTGAGCAGCTCTAACAGATCTTTGTGGCATACTTTGTCAAACACCTCTGCGTAGTTTATAAAACACAAGTATACGTCCTTCTGCACTTGTACATACCTACATGTACTTAAAAAAGCATTTTGCATTCTAAAGTAAAGTTTTATTCACATGAACTCTTTGAGTTTATTGTGACTATATTCATTTGAACAAGAAACTTGATTCTAAAAAAGACTTTTTGTATAAACCGTTATTTTCATAACATTACTTATGTTCATTGCATATTTCATTTTTATATTAATTATATATTACTTTTATAATTTTCATGATGAATCACATTTTTCCTTGTCGCATTTTACTTTTATAAAAGTTTTTCACTGAGTGCCATGTTTATATATTTTCTATGCAATTTCTAAAAAATTAATAGATTTTATTTTTAATCCAATATATTTTTTAAAGAAAATAATATCCAGCATGATTAGAACCTGTTTTCTACTTTGCAGTAGAGACTATCATCTGATCTAGCATGCTTTAACAGCTTGGCTACAAAGAGCTGTGAAGGTTCATTTTTCCTTTAAAGCACACTCCGACATTCAGATTTTCTTGAAATGGCATATCTGCTCAGTTTCATATCTGAGACTTAAAGAAAACAATTTCTAAAGAATTAATGGATTTTATTTTTTAATCTAACATATTTTATTACTTCAAACATTATTTTTAGTGGCTACCCATTATATGAGTAGACACTCTGTTTATTTTAAACAGTATTTTGTCTACCAGCTTGCACACTCAAGAAAACTTATTAAAGAAAATATCCCCATGCAGCAGAATTTGTACCTGGATCCCCCTTTGCAGGAGAAAATAAAGTAATAAAAATATTTTCTGCATTCAACTTCATCTTTTTATGTATAATTACATCAAGAATTGTTTTATTGATAAAAGTTATATAATAATCATTTTTACATTGCCTCATTGCATGACATGAGGAGGCATAGTGGAGTAATTGATAGTGGCTCAGATTGAGGAATCGGAGAGCTGCGTTCAAATTCCAGTCGAATCCATTACATTCACTTACATGCTAATACCCTTGGGAAAGGTATGAATCTTCTTCTTCTCCTCCCAGGTATGGGTAAATAACAGGACAGACCGAGTTCTATAGCCTTGGATGGCAACTGATCTACTGCAGAAAGAAATAGCAACCTACTGTGGGAAAAAATCTGCCTTGTCAGTCATGTAACAAAAGATACATGATTGCCTAAGCATGTATCACGCATGGCACGTAACTGACTGACATTGCATGACTCTTTTGTGAACCCTATTGTTCATTATCATCAGTCCCATGATTAAGTGTAGTCATAGAGATGCAGCCTGAAGTTTTATTTTTTTTTGTTTTGTTTTTTGGCCAACTCACTTTTCCACCTAAGGCTCTTTTTTCACTTAGAAAATTTATTTTTTAGCAAAAATGTAAGGAGCTGGGGATGACTAGCCCAAAACTTTCATAACAGTTTGATGTTGATCAATTTAGTCCAAACACTTTTAACTGATTTGGTTGCAAAAATGTGACACTTTACTTCTTGTTACACAAACAGAAATAGTTCTGTTTAAAAATCTCAAATATTCTACAATTTAAGAAATTGTCATTAATTTCTTTTGTAAAGATACATTAAAACATTGATTTTGTTTTATTTCATTTGTATTTTAAAACCATTTATCAGTTCTGAAAAAAATGTCTGTTTTTAAAATCAATAAGGTCAAGTATACAACCAACAGACCAATGTTATCTAATGTGATCTTGTGTTGAAATATACCAATACAGGCTTTCAAAAAGATTGAAAAGCCATGTCTATAAATTAAAAGATGTTAAAGGATATTTCATAATAAAACTGACTTTGTTTTGCAGCTTGATGTTTCACTCTAAATGCAGCATATAAATTACTCTTAACAGAATATAATGATACTGACTGTTGTGCACTTCTGATCTTCTTGATCTTTCCTGACATTGTTGATATGACGTTGTTTGATGGTTGACTCATTGATGCATTGTGCATAGGTTGGAAATGTTGACCACTAATAAGAATGCTACTTAAATTTTCTATTTCTATATATTTATTTAAGATGTAGTTTTTTTAACTTGTAAAACGTTTTTTCTTACCATTTATTTACAAATTCAGCATCATTGGATGTTAAGAATTTTTATAAGATTTAATTTCATGTCATGAGATCAGACGTAAAATATTATTTCATAATAAAAATTATTGTGCTATGTTTCACTTCAAAAAGTAAAGTATGTACAACCTTTGTTAGAACCTTATAATATTGAAAATTGTGTACCCTTCAAATAAAGATGGATTTAGCAGTTGGTCAAAAAATGCCCCTGACCACACTTCCACCCAGAATCTTGCTGCCATCATAAAGGAACTTGTTTAAAATTCTTTAGACTTGTACAAAGAAGAGCCAAATTCTTAAAATTTAAAAGGTATTAAAGATAAACAAATCTTCAAAAACCTTCTTTGCTAATTTAAAACTGGGATGGACTTCATTAAGGCTTCTGTTGGGAAATCAGTTAAAAAATCTTTTTAATGTACATTAGTGACAGAGTAATTGTGAGTTCAATCCCTGGGCCAGGCAGTATGTACTTGGACTCAGTAGAAAGGAAGCAAACAGTAACTGATCAGTACTAAATAAGAACTGGATGAGATATCCCTGGACATGGACAACAGAACAAGAACAATTTACCCCCCTAGATTAAATAAATGATTCAGTTCATAATTCCCTGAAGGTTACCCAGACTGACAATCATCTGATGAAAGCCAGAGGGTACACCAGTCGAAATGTTCTGATAGCAACAACAAAGATGGATATGATAGTTCATATATAAATAATGAAAATATTGATTTGTAAAACAATTTAGTTCAAGTATGAGATACCCTTTATTTTTAGATGCTTTTATTCTCTTATATTTTAATCTAGGTGAAGCTGGTCATGTTCTGCAGTCAGTGTGATCTAAGGAAGAAATCCATGACATCATTGGTCATCTGGAAAAAATTGTTGCTTCTGTATATGTTAACCTGCCATTGCTCAGCATTTAACTTGGATACTAAATACCCAAAGGTAGTTAAACACCAAGCAAATTCTTATTTTGGATATTCGGTTGCATTTTGGAATGGACCAAATGGATACAAGTAAGTGTTGTTACAATTCATTATATTTAAAGACCATCTTAAAACAAATACCTGTGCCTTCATGATCTAGCTAATTATGACTCTCCTCAGCATCCTTTTCTTTATTATCAGTGAATTGCTATGACTTCTTGGGAAAGGATAATTAAGTAGTTTCCTGTTACCTTCTCCATGGTTTAAAATTCAGACTTTTCCTTCTGTTAAACTGGCTATAGAGTCCAATCTATCCTGCTATTTAACCCATAGTTTCTGTTCATAAAAGCAATTAAATACTCCCACTACTAAAAAATATAAAGAAAAATAATATCTAAGGTGCTAAACATTTACTAGTCTCTCTGAAAGTTAATGGATTTAACTCTTATATTTAACTAATCTTTATATACTTACCCACATTAAGTTTGAATTTATAAGCACTTAAGTTTTAATGCAATCTTTCTACACACCCCTTACATTGTGTTTAGTCCATTTGTGTACTTGTAAAATTCATAATAGTCAAAAGTATGACTATAAGAACAAAGCATTTTTTCAAAAAGTTTATGGGTGTTTATAGCTTTCATATGTTTTTCCCTTACACATGTCATAGATGCAGCTGAGTTGCCCACATGTTTACATGTCACGCAGCCACTGACATTGAGTAAAGCAGAGATCTGCACCTGGTGGTTAGGAGATAATCTTTAAAGGCAACTTGCTGATGCACCTGGCATAACACAGAGTGCAAAGTCTATTTTGATAGCATCTGGGGGGAGTCATATTCTATAATTTTATCAAGGGTTTTTTTTGTGGGGGGGGCTTAGTCACTCTGCTGTCATCTCTTGCTATGGCATCAAAGGATATGACACACTCTATGTAAACAAAGTCCTAAAGCTTCACCAGGAACAATGGAAATGAAAAACAGGTTGATAGTGAATGATTATTTTTTTCCTATTGACTGCTACAAGACACTAGACTCAAAGATTAAAGCATTGGTTCATGGATTTGGTGTTATAATAATTGTAAATCTAATCTCTGGGTTAGATAATACAGACTCAAACACAGTGGGTTTACAGCCACATCATGTTGAAACACCAGTTCTCATATGATCACTGAAGTTAAGCAACATTGAGCCTGGCCAGTTGATGGGTGACTATTTGGGAATACCAGGTGCTGTAAGCTTGAATGTGCAGCTGGTGTAATGGATAATGACTCAGAAATTGTTAATTGAAGAGCCGAGGTCCAATTCCAGTTGGGTTTTTTTATATTCACTTAAGCACAAATACCCTTGAGAAAGGTATGAAACAATCTCTTCTCACCCCAGCTATGGGTTAATTAGTAAGACTTGTATCACTAAATCATTATCAGTCCCACCGCTCAGAAAAAATCTTCTGGCTTTAAAAAACCTGCAAAGAGTTGATAGGCCATAGAAAACAAATCCATCAAACTCAGTGGAAACAAGGCAATAACTAAGTAGTATTAAAAAGATGATATCTCCCTCGACATGGAGAGTGAACTGAGAACAATCTGTTTCCATAGATTAAATAAGGAGTTCAATTTGAAATTCTATGATGGTTATCTAGATCATTAGATGCCAAAAGAAGAAATTTGGGAAAAATGGTTAAAATGTTGTTAAAATAAGAACAAAGATAAAGACATTGGTACAAATGTAAATAATGTAAACACTGACTTCCAAATTAAAGCAGTCTTTGCAGAGTAGAACATTGCATATTGCAGGGATGACTCTGAATAAGCAACTAGAGTTATATTATATGCCCAGTCTAAACCAGACCTCCTGTCACTTTCTGAAACTGGTATCAACACTTCAAACACACTAGGGAAGCTCACAGTCCTGGGCTACTCACCATGACCAACCTAAACTGTCACAGACTCGGAGCATATGTCAAGGATGAGTTTCCCTGTGGCAGGGATGCAAAAAACGAGGAACCTGATCTCCGGTATATGTGCTTCTGCTTGGCACTTATCCATAGTACCACATTCATCTTTGCTCTCTACCACCCTCAGGACGAAGGGACAGTAATCTTTGACTGGATATCTGTGAAGATTGATAATATCCTCACTCAATTCCCCTCAGCCAAATTTCATATCTACTGTGATTTCAATATCCACCATAAAAAATGGCTAGTCCACTCCAACAAGACCAATGTTGAAGACAGATATTGCAGAGATTTCTCCATCACCTATGAACTAACCCAAATCATCGGAGAACCTACCTGGGTTCCAGAGGCACAACAGAACATCAGGCGAACCTCCTCGACCTCTTCCTAACCTTTTGCCCTGATGAATGCTTACCAAAATTTTTATCTCCACTAGGCACATCAGACCATTCCTTAAACAGTATCCAAATTGATGTCAAACCTAAGACATCCCCTGATGTGCCATTCTATAGAACAATTTTCCGCTCTGCTAAGGCAGACTGGGAGAGTTTTCAATCCTACATGATGGAAGTTCCCCTCCCAACCTTCTTCAAGCATGCTGTTTCAAAAACTGCAGCCCTTATCATTGACTGGATCCTTTCAAAAATGGAGAGTTTTATACCGACAACACCAAATTCCATCAAAAACCAAACAGTCAATGTTGGTCCACCTCTGAATGCTGCCATAACTCACCAAAACCACTACTTCAATGTCTATGACAAGGAGCGATATAGTTTGGCTCTCACTGCATTCAGCACTGCACACAATTGCTGCAAAAAGTTCTAGATTTCACCAAGTGCAGCTATGTATGAGTAATTCAGACTAAGGTTAAAAAGAAACAAATTGTATCACGAGAATTCTGGAAGATCACCAACCAAATCATGAACAGAGGAAAAGCAGCTGTGCCCACAATTATAAACAGCCCTGAAGTTCTCAGTCTTTGCCTCTAACTCAAAATTAGCTGACAATGACCATCCCTGCCTCTCCACAAGTTCCCACATCTTACTGAACACAATTTCAGTAATGTTACCATCACAGCATGAGAAGTCTCTAGATTTATCAAAAGCCTTGATCCTAAGAAAGTCACTAGTCCAGACAAAATTCCAGTGGTTGTCATTAAGAATATCAACCCAAAATTATCCCCAATCCTAGCAAAGTTATTCAACTGCTGCTTGAAGGAGAAGTCCTTCCCAATCCTATGGATAGCGTCAATCATATGCCTCGTTTTCAAGAACACAAGTATGCAATCTTCCCCCTCTTAGTACAGACCCTTCACTCTCCTCAGTATCAATAGTAAGCTTTTTGAGGCCATAATCAATAATAAGGTCATTGAACACCTAAAAAAGAACTGCCTCTTCAGGGACAAGCAGTATGGGTTTTAGTCAGCTCAATCCACTGTCAATTTCCTAACTACCCTTATTCACAAAGTCAGTAAGGCTCTTGACAACAAACACACCTCAAGGACCATAGCACAAGATATCTCAAAGGCCTTCGACAAAGTGTGGCACAAAGGCTGACTACACAAGCTCTCCAGTTATGGAATCACTAGAAGTGTCTTCTCAATCATAAAATCCTTCCTAACAGGTAGTTACCTGAAGATAGTTATTAATGGCCAGGTCCTTACACAAACTACTCAATGGGGTAAAAACTGGCTGCTTACATTCAGTGTCTTGAAGACCAAGCTCATTACATTCCATCATCACTGATCTAGCGCCAAACTAACACCAATCAGAATGAATGGAGTTCCTCTTGGGGAAGCATCATGCCATAAAAGATTGTTAGGCCTCAGTCTCACACCCAACCTCAAGTAGAACACATACATACAATCCATTGCTAAGGATGCAGGTAAAATGGTCAGCTTTCTGTACTGCTCCAGTAAGTACCTGACTCCCCCTGCTATCCACTACCTTTACAAGATCTAGATCCGGCCAAATGCTGTCATATTTGGGTGGGAGCTCTCCAGTTGAAAAGCATCTCCAAGCCCTTGTGAGAGACAAATTATTCTCCACCCTCCAACCTCTCTCCCACAGGTGGGATGTGGCAAGCCTTTTGTTGTTCTCCTGCTGCTTTCATGAAAAGTGCTCAAACTAAATTCTCTGGTCCCCTCCAAGGCAAACATTCACAGCAAGAACATGACATGTCACTTACATAGAAGCAAACTACCTACATTCCCTCCATATTCTATCGGTAAGAAGTAAGTTCCACATGAGCAGCTTCTTCCCATGAACCATTGCCCTGTGGAACCAACTCCCAACAGGATGTTTCCCCAATCACTGCAATTTTAACCCATTCAAGGTTAGGGTTAATTGTTACCTTCCACTCCTATACACAAAAATCCCCCCCCCAATTGTAACCCTCCACCTCGAGTGGCCCCTGGCCCTTGTAAAGGGTTAACCAAACTGTAAAAAATAAACTGATGTCTTAGTGTAAACCTAGAGTCACTTCACATTGAATTGGTTGCCATTTATACATGGACATGTCTTTATCAATACAACTTAAGTAGACTGGACCACTCATTAAAAATAGAGAAACATTTTTGGCAAAATAATCCTTATAGATTGGCATTCTTTAGGCCTTCCTTAGGCCATGACATTTGTCAATATTGTAAACTATTGATTTGTTATTCATTTTAGAATTTTAATTCTTAATCTTCTTTTTTACATTCTTATACAAATTCTGAGAAGATTTAATTCAATTTAATTTGTCAGTTTATATATCTTCTTTCTTTTCTTTAACAGAGTTTTGGTTGGTTCGCCAAAAGCAAAACCCAGAAATATGGTGACAGGAGGTCTTTTCAGGTGTGACATTAAAACTGGATCTTGTAAGATAATTAATGTGGGTCAAAGTTCAAGTAAGCTATATTCTACTTTTATTTAACATCCTAATTTAAAAGTATTTCACTCTTTTAATAAGTGTGTACATGTAGTGTAGCAATTATCAGTGTAGAAAGTAAGTTCAGTATGTTTGGTTCAAACTCTTCAGAACAATATGAATCCATTTCTTCTCCTACCCAAGTATGGGTTAAATAGCAGAGCAGACTAGGCTCTCTAACCTTAGTTGGTAAACAGTTTAGGTGAGTTTAAAACCAATTCAGCAAGGGGTTGGCAACCCCACCTTATAAAATAACCTACTTGCTATGGAAACCATTGCAGCAACACTAGTATTGTGCAGCTGTGGCTTTATAATCTACATGGAGTGAGAAGGACTTGTTTTTTTAATGATATATTTGTAGTTAACAAACACCAAGTTTAGGTTGTGGTCTCATTCTTTAGATCATGAAGTTTGTTTGATAGTGATTCTCAAAGAAAAGATTACTGAACTGTTACGTGATATCTATCCTACTGTATAGCAGCAAATGCTGGACAGTTTCCTCAAAGATGAAGAAGAGACTTGAAGCAACAGAAACATGGTCTACAGTAAAATGCTGAGGATATTATGGAATGAACATGTGGGCATCAACAAGGTTTTGGAGAAAATAGAAACAAAAAGGAAGCTTATACTTAACATCAGCAAGAGGCAGTTGAAATTTCTGGTGCATGTAATGAGGAAGGAGAGCTTGGAAAACCTGATACTCACAGGACAGATTGTGGGAAAGAGAATCAGTAGAAAGCAGCATGTAACATACTTGATGAGCTTCAGTAAATGAATGGTAGAACAGAGTTTAGGGGAAATAACAAAAAAAAACAAAACTTATTAAGTGCTACAAGGGAGAGGATGATATGAAGGGTGATAATTGCCTATGTCTTGAAGAGTCACAGCATATAAAAGAAGAAAAATAAACACCAAAGTTTTCAGAGTTGAAACAAAATAATCTAAAATGATTTGGCTTCTAGATTTACAAACAAATGTTTAACATCAATTAAAAAAATGTCTGAAGAATTCTCAAATTTAAAGATACTCATGAATTTGGTAGTTTTGAGTTCAATCCCTGGGTTGTCAGTGTGTACTTGCACTCAGTGGAAATGAGCTAGCAAGAATTGTGATTTTGTAAGCTTAGACGTGGCACAAGGCCGAAAGTCTGCAGCACCCAGTGACAATCAAACTTACTACACAGTTGTAATTGATCTAGCAAGGCAAGCTTGCTAACCATTGCAGCACATTGAAGTGCCCTACTAAAACACTGATTGAGTTTTAAAATAAAAACTGCATTCTGAAGAAAAACTTTAAAAATCTATATATATTAAGATTTTATTGATTTTTATTGATTAATCACTTTCAGACAAAATAAAAAACCTCTTTTTATTGAAAATTATTAATAAGCTACAATATAACTACTGAGTGGATACCAGCTTAAAATTTACAAAGAAAGATAAAAATTGCGTAGCATTTAAAATATATATTGAATGAAGGAGGCATGGTGGAGTAATGGCTACCAGCTCAAATTGTGGAATCGGAGAGCCAAGTTCGATTTCTAGTTGAATCCATTACGTTCACTTATGTACTAATACCCTTGGGAAAGGTATGAATCTTCTTCTTCTCCCTCCAGCTATTGGTAAATAGCAGGACAGACTAGATTCTATAGCCTTGGATGACAACTGGTCTACCGCAGAAAGAAATGGCAACCTACTGTGGGAAAATCTGCCTTGTCAGTCATGTATCACAAGATACATGATTGCCTAAGTGTGTATCATGCATGGCACATAACTGACTGACTGTATAGTTACTATATTAGTAGAAATTTTACACTTTAAGTAGAATACTTTAAAATAGAACCAAGTATTTTTTGTGTTAAATATTCAAGTGTATTCTTTTGTTAATGTTATATCCTCATACAAAGATAGTATATAAAGTAACCAGTCCAAGTAACAGTGTGAGTTGAAGTAGTAAGAGAAGTCATTAAGACTTCTTTCTGTGTTTAGTCTATATCTTCATGAGAAGAAGCTGGTCTAAAAAAAAATGAAAAAACAATTTTGTAAATAACCTCAACTATTTCTGAAATATAAATATTTTGGATTTACACTTTATATGCTTTTTTCTTGTCCTGTCATTTTTTTTTTTTTGTAGATGATTTGAATATTTTTACAAGGTCAAATTTTTATACTCTTAACCTTCTAAAGGACTATATAATGCGTACACACAATCACACACACATGCATGCACAGGCATACACTTTTTCAAATCATATTTCTTTCATTTTAATTTCTGGTTGCTTTTTATTGTAAACCATCATTTACAGTGATCTGTAGGCAAAATGGATAAAAAAAAAATAAACCTCTGATAAAACTCAAGCTTGCATCCACAGAAGTTTTGAATTAATATGACAGCTGCCTTGCCAATAAGGTCACAGGGTTGGTGGTAAGGAATTTTCTTTATATGTCATATCCCCTCAGACATAGGCAATCATGCCTTTCCACAAATTCCTGTTCTTTCCTCACATGTTCAGTCCATGGTATCCTCAGCATCCTTCTGTATAACCACATTTCTGCTGTTTTGAGTCTATTCTTCATCTTTGAGGAGATTGCCCAGCATCAGAAGGACAGATATCATGTAACATGTTTTCTATGTTTCTACTGATGTTTTTCTGTTTTTCAATACTTTGCATCTCAATGTGTCTTCAGAATTTAGCGTCACCCTTTCTGTTTTCTGTTAAAACACTTCCCAGATATTTAAATTTTTGTCCTGATTTAATTTTGGGATCTCCAATTTGCAATTTGTATTTTGGGCTCATCTGCCTTCCTGTGGTTGATGTTTAACCCTTTCTTTTTTGCTTTCCTTCATTACCTTCTGTAGGAGTTTTTGTAGTTTTCATCTGCATTCACTCTTCTCAATTACTTTTTTTTCTCTAGAAACCTTTTTTTCAAGACAGACTGCAGAAGTGACAAGTCTTTCTGCAATGACCACATGCCAGTCACCTGCTAGAAATGATGACCAATCATTTTTCTGGAGACAATGACTAATATCCAGGCAGTTAAGAATGACATTGAAAGTTTTCCTGTTGTTCATTAGATCAAAATTCCACTCCCAACCCATATTCAGTCTGGGCTCACAAAATGCAGGCAATATAGAGCTAAATGAGTACCCAAGATGAAACTAGAGACTTCATATATTGTCATCCAAGTCCAATGCTTACTATGATATGACATTCAACACTGCTGACACTACCATTTATTAGAGCAGACAAAATTATGCAAAACTAAAAAAGCTACATCAAAAATCTATAAGATTCATTATAAAAAAGATTCATTAAAATCTAAATGGAGAACCTGGAAGGAACCTCACTGAATTTAAAACCCACTCCAACGAAAGGAGCTCAAATACTGCAAATTGTTTCAAATTAGTTCAAAGAAGCCCCATTAAACCTGAAAATAAACAAATTTCTTCTGTTCTTGTATCTTTTTTTTTTTTAGTTTTATCAGGAGTCCAAGACTAGACTTGGTGACTACTCTAGTCTTGGGGTCCCTGGTTTGCAGCCCATACTAACCCATATGTAAATCTGGCACTGCTTGCACCTCTGGAAGTGAATGCAATATAATCAAAGCATTTCCTGTTGTCCAGGTCTGTTGTCTACATTCTCTTATGCTGTACTTCCTTGTGCAGAAAACTTTCCTGTACAAGTTGTATGGTAACTTGATCCTACACAGAATCTTGTTAGTCTGCTGCCACCTTAGATAAGTATTCTGCCTATGCCAATGATGTCTCTATATTTATAATGATGAATGTTTAGCTCATTAAGCTCAGCAAATAAATCTGCTTGTACAAGACAGTTGCAGAGGCCAAAAATGAACTATAAGTTTGTTTGCTTATGCTCATAAAAAGGTTGTCCTCTCCCTGACCCCTTTAGTTGAACAAACAGACTGTGCAAGATACACAACATCTGCTTCAGTCTTGACCTCCAGCTGAAGAAGAATTAAATGTATTGGAAAATGACCAATTGTTTATCTGAGATAATAACAGTGTATAATGTCTGTTCAAATTAACCAAGGAACAAGCAGAATTATAATACTATAAAGGTGACTAGAATTACAGATAATATTAGATTTCTTAACAAGTGTTGAAAAACGGTAACTTCTTACACATTTATCTTATTTTATTTTTACTTAATGTTAATATCTTTTCATGTGCCTTAAAAGCTGACTCATGGCTTGGAGTTTCTCTGGATGTCAGCCCAATGAATCAAAGCCTTATAACAGTTAAGTATCTTTCATTTTATTGTTCCCTTTTTCTACTGGTTAAAGGTTTAAAAACTGAAAAACTGTAAAAATTATAAAAATATCTCTCAAATCATCATTCCTATTGCCTTACTGTAAATAGATTGTTAAAAAGCATGGCAGACTGCATTTTCTAACTTTGGTTGGCAACTAGTTTAGGAGAAGGATAACTCAGAATTTAAAACCAATTCAGCTTGGAGCTGGCAACCCCACCTTATAAAATAATCTACTTGCTATGGAAACCATTGCAGCAACACTAGTGTCGTGCAGCTGTAGCTACTAGAAGGACTCATCTCTGTTTTTTAATAGCATATTTGTTACTAACAAACAGCAGTTGACACCAAAGGCTTCTTGATGGATAAGTGTCTAACATCATTTAAAAAATTCCAAACAAATCTCAAATTTAAAGATACTTGTTATCTTGATACTGATTTTCTAAGTGTAGCTTAGACATGGCACAAGGCTAAAAGTTTGGAGCACCCAGTGATGATCAAACTCACTACTCAGTTGTAAATGATCTAACAAAACAAACTTACTAACTAACCATTACACTACATTGAAATTTCAACTGTCTTGAATCATCATTCCTACTACTTTATTGTAAATTCATTCAAAATGTTTTTGTTCCATATTGTCTTTTGTTATTTGCATTTTGTTATATTTTTATTTTTTCTATTTCTTTTTTTCACTCCAAGCAAGGCAATATAGCCACTAAGATACATGGGATAACTGAAATTGGTAGAATCTGAGAAAATTATTGATGAGAGAGGACTATAAAAGAACATGATTCAAGGAAAAGGAGGATGACAATTGATGTTGCATTTAAACTTTTGAAGCTCAAAATGGACACAAAAGCAAGAAGCCAGAAGAGAGTTCTACAAGCAAGAAGTGTGAAAGAATCTGTTAGCATAGAAACTATGGTTACATGTAGCAATTTCAACTGTAAAATGGTGAGACCTAGCTGCCAATCTAGTACTGTGCTTAAATATATAAAGTTGATGTACCAAAATAGAAAAGCTCGTCAGAACAATTACCATTAAAATATTTATAGAAAAAGGCACAGGGAAGCTACATTACAGTGACAGGAAAGTGACTGAATGTAAAAATTCTGAGTGTTCTCTTTTTAGACTTTATTCATTATGTCAAAGAGTATGTTTTTTATCCTATTTCTTTTATTTTTTCATGCCATATCTATATTCTAAAGTATTTTTATTTCAGCACACTGAGTCATTGGTCTTTAACTTGCTTGCATTTATTTCTTTAATATCCTATATTCTCTGTCATTTCTTACCTTTATTTGTTGTCTCTTTTTCAATAGTTTGAGAATTTCATCTGTCATTCACTTCTTTTAGCGTTTTCTTAAAGTGTTCCATTTTTAGAAACTAGCTTCCTGTAACCTTTTATATTCATCCATAACTACATTTGCATATAAGTGTCTATAAAATGAGTCATTCTGATGTTTGTTGAATTGTTATCTAGGCGTTATTTTAAAGTTCTTTAATTTCTGTAATTTTATCTTTAGTTTGCATTTGACTGGGATGTGATCACTCCCACAGTCAGCACATTGGTATGTCTTGGAATGTAGAACTGGATCTCTAAATCATTTTACTGATTGTTAGATATCTATTTTCTCTCTTTATTGTAGAATCAAGAAGAATATTAAATATAAAACTTGATAAACTAAAACATTTTTGTTCAGACTCCAACTAAAATAATTAAGTACTTAAGTAGACAATATAAAAATAAATTTAATTTATAAAATTTACTAAATCGACAGATATAATATTTTTTTAAAAAGCAATAGATGTAAAAAATAATCTGCAAAAGAAAAATAATATTTACACTATCATCTTTATTGCTATATTCACAATGTTTTGGCCATTGTACACTCTAACCTTCTTCAGGTGATATATGTTGGAATTTCAAACTGAACCCTTTATGGGGGTAAATTGTTCTAATTCCACATGCCATGCATTTTGGGGGATATCTCAGTATCAGTTAATTCCCTTTAGTAACTCAACTCTCCAAGTATTTGTTCACCTCTACCAGGTATTGAACTCACAACCCTTTGAGTCAAGTCACTTTTTGAATTACTCAACTAATTTAACCCTCAACTCAACCCATTTAACACCTTTACCAGTTTTATAAAATGCCGTTATCCACCTCTTAATTACTGTTGCTTGTAGGACTGCTCTGATCTGGGGTGGTAGCACCTATTAGGGTCCCAGATATATCCAAATAGTGAACCCTCAAACTAGGATTAGAACATTATGAAAATATAAAAATACATTTTTATAGTAAAAGTATTAGCAATACATTTTTGAAAAAAAATACTGAAGCTCCTCAAAAAGTTAAATTCATTAAATGACTCATAAAGTCTTGATATGTCATTAAACAAACCAAACCAAGGTAGAATACTTTCTTTTTTGTTTTTTGGAGTAATTCAGATTATATGAAATGGTAATATGAAATAGTGAACAAGACATTTTAATCAACTTCCTAAATAGGAAAAATAAAAATTCTTTTTGTAAAGTCAATATTTAAAGTCCCTAATTATAAATATATAGGTGTATATGTGTAAAGGTACAAAAACGTTTTTACATAATCAAAAAGGATTCAAAGAGATTTCTAATGAAGTGGTGGGGGCAGAAATAATGATAACATGAGATTTAAATCTTTATTACTTAACATTACATTTTATTCAACTCCAGACTTTATCAGTTACTCCTGGCCAGTCTGTGGTGTGAGTGGCTCAATCAGTCTGCCCCTGGGTCTGGCATCTAGACCTAAATTCTCCTGTGATGTTTGAGTGAGACTGCTTCTCTGGAGTTGTAGACATATCCATCTGTTTCATAGTTTTTCTCATGCATGCACATATCAAGTGCTATTGAGCACCTTACCACAGATAATGGATGAATCACAAATTTCCACACCTGGCAGGGGTCATCTCATATCAATTCTGCACCTAGCTTCATTTGACAGTTTGCTGTGAAATTTGATTGCAATGTCTATTCTGGCACAATACCACAGATTGATCTATGATTAAGGGTGATGGATGACCACTCAGCCCAATTAGATTGTTCAGGTGAAATCTGTTCCAGGCTATTGTTTAAAGTGTGTGCGTGTGTAATGTAATGGTTAGTGAATCAGAAATCAGTGATCCAAAATCATATTAGAGTTTGTAGAGGAGTTATAATGCTGAGTAGATAATTATAAACCCCCTTATATTTATATATATAAAAATACTCGTAAAAATGAGAAAGAGCAAGAAAACAACAAAAAGTATTATTTTCTGGTTGTTATGTGGTGTTGGAGACACGTAAGACTGTAATACTGAGTAAAATTGTATGTTTGGGGTCAAATGTAGATCAAATATGGATTGGAATCAGATAATGATAAGATAAAGAATAAGTAAAGAGTATATAGTCTTTCTTGTACGTTTTTTTTATAGATGTGTGCAATGAGTGTCCACATAATTTTGTCAAAAATTGCAAGAATCTGGGGTTTTCTTACCACAATATTTTGTTAAGTGCTGAGATAAATGCTAGTATTATGGCCTGAAAAAGGAGCTGAAATTCTCATTGATGCATGTGTTGATGGTCTGTCCATGTTGACTGCTTGTCTGATAGTGAGAATGTCACATATTTGTGTGTGTAGAAGAGAAAAGTGGGATTGATTTTCATTGGTTTAGAAAGTGAATTAATGATAATTATAATTGTTAAAATTATTTTATTATAACTATTTTTGACACTATAATTAATTTTTATTTTTTATGGACATGATGCAGTGACAGTATAATTAATTTTTTATTTATGTATTTCTTTATGGACACAACAAGTTTATATCCAGTGACACTGCTATCAATTCTTACTCCTCATTGTCATTATGCATTGTCAAATCTTAAAGTAAGGCTTCTTTGAGCTAAGCCACATTTTGAAATGAATGATGGACTTTTGTAACAGGACAATGTAAGTATTCAAAGTAGTTTAATGACCAGACAAGCAATCACAATGCATGATTGAACAACCCTGCCTCATTCACTCTACAATACTGACCTGGCATTTATGAAGGTGGCACCTAAAGGACAACAGTTCTCCAATGATAATGAGGTAAGAGACAATTCACACACAGCTAAAAAAATAGTGGTGACATATGGTATTGAAAAATGTTATGAGGATCTGAAAATATATTTTAACATGACTACCACTTGCAGATATAAATAATTTTAAAACTGCTACCAACTTAATTGAACTCAAAGATCAGACTGTTGCACACATTGGCCTTCTCAATCTTTCTGTATGACAGCAAATCAGAACTACAGTGAAGAATTCAAGTGTTAGAAATGATATGCTACAAGACCATCCTGGGCATCTACATAGACTGCATTGCAAATAACACACTGTGAGACACCATCAGGCAGGAAACAGGCATGTTGGAAGACCTCATAACCACTGTAATGAAGAGAAAGTTGTAATGGTATGAACATGCCATAAAAATCAACAATCTTTTCACTGTCATTTTACAAGGTGCCACATTGGGCAAAAGAAGCAGAAAGAGAGAAAAAAGATCTGACAATGTAACTGAGTGAACTGGAAGATCATTAACAGAGACTCTGATATTGGAATGTAACTGAGACATATGGAGGGAGCTGGTCAAATGTTCATCTGCACAGCAAGCTTACAACAATAATTGTTCATGGGATTTTTTTTTCTAATTTTTTTAATAATATTGGTCCAAGAGCCACTCAAGGTAGAAGGTTACTCTGTGGAGGTGTATTAGCATAAGAAAGGACAATCGTTATAGGGTTGCAGTAAACTTGATCTGAGGTGGAAGTTGGTTGGAGTAAAGAAACAAATTAGACACTGGTTTGGAAAATGACCAAAGATTTATTTTCATTTGCAAGATATGAAAATGTCTCTGATAAGTCATATAGTGTAGCATTCGAATGTATGGTGTATCAGGTGTGAAATGAGAGCATGAAAAGGTGTATGCCTAACCCGGCTGATTGCTTGTTGGCTATTGGCTTGGGCTTATCATGTTCTCGTTCTGTGTTTCAAAGCCTAATGGTAGGACAGGTTGTCAGCCGTGCTCTCAGGTAGCTTCTATGGTTAGCACTTGTGTGTGTGTGTGTATGTGTAGTCGCTCTCTCTCTCTCTCTCTCTCTCTCTCTCTCTCTCTCTCTCTCTGCTCTTTGCTCTCTCTGCACTGTCCAGCTTCTCTTATAGCCTATACAAGGGAAACACAAGGAACTGGAAACCCAATCCTAAACAGGAAACAAGGGATAAACCTCTACTCAAAAGAATGGGGAGGAGTGTGAACCAGACAATGATGGAGATTTCATTGTGATTGACTAAGAATTAAAAAACATGTTCTCTGTAGATTTTTGCATAATTAATTAGTTTAATTAGCTTATGGAGTCACTGAGAAATAAGGGATAGCATTTCAGATTGAGGAGCCAAGTTCAAATTCGAGTTGAGTTTGTTACATTTATCCTTGAAAAAGATACAAATCCATCTCTTCTCTCCCCAGCTATTTGTAAATAGCAGGACAGCCTTGGGTGGCAACTGCTCTAGAAGAAGGATAAGTCTGAATTCAAAACCTTCAACTACAGCCTCACCAACCTGCACTTGGCTAACCATGATGATTATGGCTATGCCTCTGAAGACATGGTCAATTAGGGAGGGGCTTCTCCAAGGAATGAGAAGGCCAGGTCCAGGCCCAGGATCTGGATCTGTTCCAATGAGCTTTCATCTGTGCTACCTTTTAATTAGCTTAAAGCAAGTGCTTTGTTAATAATAATTTTAAAATTTTCTAATAATTTTGTAATTGTAACTTTGATTTTCATTTTGTCTTTTGCTATTATAGGTTTGTGGTCACCGGGCAAAAACATTTCAACAAAGAAGGGATATGGTCAGTGGAGTTTGTTATCAGTTAAAAAATCAAAAATTAACCAAAATTCAATTAAAACACCATCATGATTTACTTGGAATTTCTGTTCAGTATGCAAAGGTAAGTGATTATATGTTGTGTCTGAGGGTATTAAAAAACTTAAAAAATTACTTTCTTAATTTTCAAAACATGAATTTAAAAAAAAAAAATTTAATTTTATAAAAATTAGAAAATATTTTTTTAATTTTTTAAATTTAAAAAAAAAATTTAATTCTTATTAATTTTTTATAAAATTAAAAAATATGACTTTCTTAATTTTAATTGTTTTCTACTTTGCATTTTGACTAGTATATCTCTTCTTTTTTTTTAAATGGTGGAATTTGAATGTAGTAAGTTGGTGATATCAAAACCATGCAAGTACAGTAATTTAAATATCTGGGAAGTATTTTAACAGAAGACGGAAAGTGTAAAATCAAAATCCAAATTATGATAGTGAATGATGCCTTCCAAAAGCTAAGCTAACTATTAAGAAACAAGAAAATCTTGTTAGAAATAAAAGTGCACTGAACTGTTATGTAATATCAGTTCTTCTATATAGCAATGAATTCTGGACATTATTTACATTGTTTGAACTGTTGTCTTCATCTTTGTCACCATATTTACAATCTTTCAGCCTTCTTCAAGTGATTGAACCCTTTATTTTGTCCACTGGGGTAAATTGTTCTAGTTTCATGTCTCAGTTACTTCCCTTTAACTCAACTCTCCAAATTTTTGCTCACCATTGCAGTAGCCAGGTACTTAACTCACAACTCTTTGAGTCAACTGGATCCAACCTTGAGGGCATCAGTGTATGAATTTTTAGGACTTATAAACTTAATGTCTCAGAAACCATTTTTTTCCAAAGCTCATATAGCAATTTTTGTTGTTATTATTATTGCTTTTTTCTAGCACTTCCTATTACTGGTTCCCATATTGTGTGAAGATCCTGACTTTCTGTACACAACACACTTTGGAATGGAATCAGGCATATATCAACAGAATGAAGGCTTAGCAATGGGATCACTAATATCACCAGCAATGGCAAACATATACATGGAATACTTAAAAGAAATGGCATTAGAATCCACATCACTAAAGCCAAGATAGATATGTAGATGACAGCCTCATACTCTGGCCACACTAGGAAAAGGTCCATCTACTATTGGAACATTTAAACTCAATAAGGTCATTGATACAATTCATGATGGATAGAGAAAACGACAACAAACTTGTATTCCTGGATGTACTAATATTTTTAATAGATCATGGTTTCAAGACATCTGTTTGATGACGTTGAAATGATAGACCAAGAACATCATTGGAAAATATGAAAACTTAAGGAATCAGCACATATGCTCGGCCACAAATATCTCCTAAGCCTGCCAAGCATAGAAGTGAATACAATATGGGAACCAGTAATATGGAGTGCTAGAGAAAAGCAATAATAATAACAACAAAAATTGCAATATAAGAAATGGTTACTGAGACATTAAGTCCAAAAAATTCATACACTGATGTCTTCAAGGACACATGGCCCAGTGGATAAAAATGTTTATTGGATTCAGTGATTTGACCTAAAGAGTTGTGAGTTCAATACTTGAACAAAATCTTGGAGAGTTGGGTTAAAGGAAGAGACATGTTATGTGGAATGAGAACAATCTACCATGGTGGACAGAATAAAAGGTTTACTTCAAAATTTCAAGGCTGGAGTGTACAACGGCCAAAACATTGTGAATATGGCAACAAAGTTGAGGACAACGGTTTTAACAATGTAAATAATATAAATAATTGCAATACCACATCTCAGAAATAGAGACAATCTCACAGATAAAGAAAAGACTTGAGGCAAATGAGGTTCTACATAAGGATGCTGAGAATACCATGGATTGAACATGTGAGCAATGATGAATTTTTAGAGAAAATGGAAACAAAAGTATACATACTTAGAAACAGAATGAAATAGTTGAAATTTCTAGGTTACCTAATGAGGAAAGAGAGCTTGGAAAATTTGATACTTACAGGACAAATGCATAACCTACCTAATGAGCTTGTGTAAATGGTTAGCAGAACAGGGTTTAAGAGAAATAGGAAAAAAAGACAAAATTTACTAAAAGCTAGAAAGGACAGAAAATTGTGAAGAGCCATGACCACCAACATCCTGAAGAGACATGGTACATAAAAGAAGAATAAAAAGAAGAAACTTTTAAGTCCATCCGACAAAACCCTTTATTCAAACATAAAGAAGTTCATACTATGCATACAATAAATTTATGATCAGTTAGGAAAATATTTAGCAATAGCAATACTCTTAGATGCCGAGTAGACAGGATGTTTATTTTTTAAGAAAATTTTCTCTTCTCCCCTCTGATTATTAAGATCATCTTGTTTATTAATTTTGCCTCCTCCCACTTGGAGCTCAAACAGAAAATGGTAATTATTAGAGTGGATTCAAATTTTTACTTGCTTGCTTTTATGATACGCACTCTATTTTGATAGGATGCATGTTGAAAGATTCTATTCCATTGAATTGTTTAAAGAAGCATTCCATTATTCTCTTTTATTCTTTCCAGAATTACAACATTCCATCATTCTGTTTTATTCTTTCCAGAATTATGAACATTCCACAATCCTGTTATTCTGTTTTATTCTTACCAGAATTACCACATTCCATTCTTTTATAAACTTAATGTTTCTTAAGATGATTGTTTTGTTTTTTTAAACATAATACTGGTGAAACAGAAAATGGATAATGATGAAGAGGAAATTCCAATCATTTTTGACAATCTGTTGGAATAAGTTGTATAAACAAGTTGTTTTTATTTTTTTAGTTTTGACAGCAACTTCGTCTCCAGGATTTTTGCACTTTCTCCTAAGACAATAGTTCACAAATGTACTTTCAATTTTTAAGAGTTATGCAAGTCTATATATAATTTATATAAGCTTTTTCACTTGCTAATTAAGTTGTGCCAGGACAGGTTCCCATTTTTTTTTATCAATTCACCCCAAGCAAGGTGATAATGCCACTAAGATGGAAGGGGATACTTGGAGTGAAAGAGAATGAGAAGACTTTAGAAGGAACCAGAAACCCAATCCTGAACAGGAAACAAGGTATAAACCTCAACTCCTATTCAAAAGACTGGGGAAGGGTGTGAACTGATGTTATCAGAAAGTGCAAGAAGTGGGACAAAATTAGCTGTTACATTAGTGGTTTTGAAAAAAAAAGTTAAATTTGACATTTTTGGGCCATTTAAATGATTTTCTGACCTCCTCCTGTTATTAAGATTCCCCGATCTATTGCATATTATGAAAGGTTCTGACCCGCCAATTATTGCCCTCCCCACTTGTATTAGGCACCTAAAAGTATTTATCTCATAATAAAAGTCATTTATTAACTTTTTTATTACAGAGAAGCCATATTTTGCTTATTGGAGTGCCTGGTCTTTCTATCTTTAGAGGTAAGGAGAAAATACTTGTTCCTGATATTTTTATCTGTATAATAAATTATCCACAATTTTTTATGTGTGGTATCAATAAAGAAGAATTATATTATTAAGTTTAGGTTGGTAATGGGAATTTTAACTGTGTGTCTTTTGGCTTTGGTTTTGAAAATTTAAAGAAGTGAGTTAACTTGATTATTAAATCTAAATGTTTTGTGTTTTGATAAGAAATTCTAATGCTTCATTGATTAAGTCAAAAATATCAGTTTTTAAAGTGGGATGTTGCTAATCATCATGAAAATTTTAATATTAACTCAAAGTAAACACTAAAAATCATATTGAATTTATTAAAATTTACCTAAAAAAAACTGATGTGTTCAGATAGAGTTTTTTGATATGCCTTGAAACTGAGTCTGATTGTGGTGACACAATACTTGGCACAATAAAAAGGGAATATTCTAGAAAAAAATGGCTTGATAAGAGAATTCCTTTTCAAGATTATTTCCAACCAATTAATAAGACAGAATTTGTAACCTGGTTGTTAGCAAAACAAAGAGAATGTGAGCTAAGAACTGAAGTAAATCAAAATCAAGCAGGGTTAGGGCAATATCAGATAATGGAAAACAAATGTGTATATTGATATATGTTGAGTATCCTTTATCTGAGAACCTCCAAAATCTGAAAACCTCCAAAATCCTAAAGTTTTCAGATGCTGACGTAACTTGCCATAAATGGAAAATTTCAGAAAAATCCAAAAATATCTGAAAACTGAAGCACTTCCGGTCCCAAGAATTTCAGATAAATGATTCTCAACCTGTATAAAGAATTTAAATCAAATTATAGGCAAACACACACACACACACACACACACACACACACACACACACACACACACACACACACACACACACATACATACATGATGTTTAATGTATGTTTTTACATTTATGTACTTTTACAGGTGGATATTATGTGGAGTATTTTTATGGATCAAGTGAAGATGCATTAAAATATGAGAAATATACATATTCTGGTAAAACATTTTTCAGTTTTTCATCAGTAAAATAATTTTTTGCCTTCACTTCTTATTAATAAAATCATCTATTCATCTTTTTCTTTAATGTAGCATCCCAAAATTAAGTAAACGTTTTCATAAACAGGATTTTTAATGATTATTTATCTAGAGAAGTGAAAATATCTTCAGGGAATGATTCAATCCAAAATGGAGCATTTCAGTCATAACAGCTTTATTTATTTCAAAATGTTTCCTTTATCCTCAAATTCAATATATTAAAATATTCACACATACACATACATGCACACACACACACATACACTTATATATATATATATATATATATATATATATATATATATATATATATATATATATATATTTTAAGCAATTGCCCCAAGCAAGGTGGGAGTGCCACTAGCATGCAAGGAGTTATAGAGAGTAAGAGCAAGAGTAAAGAGGGTTGTTTGAAGAAAGGATATAGAGAAGGATGGGGATCAGGATCAAGGCATCAAAAGATGTCGATTGATATTACATTTGAATATTTGAAGATTATAGCTGTCAGGGAAGCAAGTAGGAGGAAGGGAGTTCCACTGTCAGGAAGTGCAAGAGAAGAAGCTGTTGGAGTAGAACAGGCAGTGAAAGGGTGGTACAGAGATGACAACCTACTAGCACACTTAAATTCACACAGTTGTGGTATCAGTGAAAGTAGCTCATCAGAGCAGTTGCTATGAAAATATTTGTAGGAAAAGACAAAGGGAAGCCACAGCACGTCTGTGAGAAAGTGACTGTAGACAAGATGCCAGATCAGGAATTATCACATTACATATCCCTTTCTGGATTTTGTTGATGACCTTGAGATGAACAGCAGGGGCACCAGACCATATATAGCAACAGTATCCAATGCAAGGATGAATGGTAGATTTGAAGGATGGACTTGGGCAAGAAAAACCTTCTGTTATGACACAGGGAACCAACTTTCCTTGCAGTAGATGAAGCTATTGATTCAATGTAGTTGTTCCACCTCAGGTCAGTGGAAAGCATAAGATCAAGCAGACGCAGAGAGACGCTCTCATGGAGTTGAGTATCAGCCATTTTGATAGGAGGCAGGGAGGGTTCACTATGGTGAGTGAATGAGAGCTATTTTTTTTTGGAGACATTAAAGTTTACAATCCATTTTCTGCTCCAGTTAACCACAGATTGGTGGTCTTTTTTTAGAACAATGGCCAGGTTATTTTTGTCAGCAATGCTGGATTTGCTATTGAGACAGGAGTAAATAGATAGTAGTGTCATCTGCGTAGATGCCTACTTGGGAATTGATGACATCTGGAAGATCATTGATGAAGATCAGAAATAGTGTAGGACCTAGGATAGAGTCCTGGGGAACACCAGCATTCAGAACCTATTTAGGATGACCTCATTTTGTGGTTTGACAGGAATGATTGTATCAAGTCAAATAATCATTCTGTAATACTGTATCCCTGAAGCTTACAAAAAAGGCCAACATGCCAAACCCTATCAAATGCCTTATCTAAAATATAATATCTAAAATAAGATATCTAAAACCACAGCTCAAAATTCTCTGTTATTGTCAAGTGTTTAGCATACAAATTCAGTTATGGTCTGTGAGCACATCAGCAGTAGACCGGGCAAAGCGGAAACCATATTGTTTGTCAGAGAGTAGATCATGAGAGGTAAGGTGCTTAACCACTTTTGCATTAATTAAAGCCTCAAACACTTTGCTGAAGAGTGGCAGATGACTGATAGGACACTAGTTAGATGGGTCAGAAGGGTCTCCAGAGTTCTTAAATCAGGGACAACAGATGAGAACTTCCAACAGTCTGGAAAGATAGATTCAGTGAGACAATAGTTTGGAGATAACTGGAGTCATCTCAGGAGCACATTTCTTCATGATTATGGCTAGTATCCCATCCCCACCACTTGCCTTATGAGAGTCTAATTTAGAGATAATGTCAATACTACCAATGGGGTTATGTTAATCTCAATAGAACCTCAGTTCTAGGGGGAAAATCAAGTGTGGGTACTCTGGATGAGTTGAATGTTGAATTGGATAAGAATTTCTGAACAAAACATTCAGCCTTATCAGCTGAGGAAGTCAGGACTTCAAATTGATTGAATAGAGGAGATATTGTGGATTTGCTGTTGTTCAGCACACTCTTGGAGAGCTACCAATAATCTTTAGCACCAAACTTGCAAGATGCAATACGTTGTTACATTCTTTCAGCAAATAGTAACTTTGCTTCATTGAGGACATGCTTGCACTCATTACAGGCAGAGACAAAGAGACATAGAAAGAAATTTTTTTCTTCAATATGAGTAAATAGGCTTGCCTATCATCTGGTTCACACTCCTTCCTGGTCTTTTGAACAGGAGTAGATGTTTATACCTTGTTTCATGATTAAGATTGGGTTTCTACTTTCCTCTAAAGTCTTTTCTTTCTCTTTCACATTCAGTGGCCCCATGCATTCTGGTGACATTATCACCTTGCTTGAGGTGGTTCCTCTCACTCTGTAATCCTCTACCTCGAGTGACTCTTGGACCTTGTACAGGGTGAACATCTTTGTAAAAATAAAATAATATATGAACACAAAAGGAATATTTTACAAATGAATGCAGTCAATGCATTAAGTAATTTATTATGGTAAAAATGTATAGAAAATGCACTAATTTTTGAGTCTTCCATGGTAAATTTATGTCCAGCTTCACACAGCATATCTCCTTTCTTAGCAAAATAACTGCTATTACAATATTTGATATTAAACAAAATAAATAAAACAAAACTAAAAGTCGTAGGAAGATGAATGAGGTCATCTAAGTTGTGCATTGGGACATATTGGGTGTAAAATTTAAATTTAAAGCTGTCTCTGAATTTTCAGTATTTCTCTCAATCTGTAATTATAACTTTATTATATTTCATTCCCTTCCCCTACATATATATGATCCCATCATTAAAAAACATTATTTACTCTGAAGACATTCTTTTAAAGGCATAAATGCTGCACTTAGCATTTTTACATTTTCTCATTCATTTACCCACTATATATATATATATATAGTCATCCACAGACAGACTGTTTTGTTGTATCACAGCTCATCAGTGTGACTAGACATCCAATTGCTTCAAGCCGGGATTGAAACCAGACCGGTTTGGTATCAGTTACAGATTCTACCCCCCAAGCTATTGTCGCACGGCTGAGTAGAAGGGAAATTTTAATGTTTTTACTATGCAAAAGATGTCAGTAGCTAGGAGAGCTCGATTTGAGTAGAAGAGCATTGTATTAGTAGCAGCAGCCACTGTTTATAAAATCACCCCTTTCTCTTTGAGAACTCAATCAAATTATTTCATGTGCATAAATAGTCATCCACAGACAGACTGTTTCACTGTATAAGCACAGTACTAGATTGACAGCTAGGTCTCATCATTTTACATTTAAATTGGTTAGATGTAACAATAAGTTCTACACTAACAGTTTCTTCTCTCACACTTTTTGCTTGTGGAACTCTCTTACTTTCTAGTCAAATTTGCTTTTCAATAATTTAGATGCAGCATCACTTGTTATCTTTTATTTTCTTAATTCCAGTTCTTTTATTGTTCTCTCTCCTTAATAATGTTTTTTGTCTTATTCTTTCACACCCAGTAACCCCTTTTTATCTTAGTAGCTTTATTGCCTTGCTTTGAGTGAAATGATTAATATATATATATATATATATATATATATATATATATATATATATATATATATATAAATTATTTTCAGATAGAATGTATCTGTGAAGGAACAAAAATGAATAAAACCTTTGCCTTGATAAAATTCCTCAGAGGATGAAATGCATAGAATAGTTTTTCCTCTTGTCTTTTATTCTTTTTATTCATATATATATATATATATATATATATATATATATATATATATGATCTTGCACCTCAAAACTTACCATCTCCTGGTTGTTTTTATACCAAATTTATTCCATTTTAACCATAAAGAACTTAAATTCAACAGCTGATTCTGGAAGGGTATCTGACTATTAAAAACTTACTTTAAGTATCAGCCTTTTATTTTTTCTTAAGAAAAGTTATTTCTTTATTTCAGGTTACTGTGTGGCTATTTTAAACAACAGATCTGCCATTGGGATGCCCAGGTATCAGCAATATGGAGGTGTAAGCATTTATCAAAACATTCTCTTTTCTCTTTCTCACTCCCATGTTATATATATATATATATATATATATATATATATATAAAAGTTTAATTAAAAATCAGTACAAATTTAATTATTTTTTCATTTGTTTTTTCAACATTTCTAATAATCTTTGGTTTCTGATTGGTATTGGAATATGAAATTTCTCATATTTGAATACTTTTGATGAACACCAATAAACATTTTCAAATGTCTATTGTTTGTTATGTCATCAGTTTAATTTTTAATATTGCCTTTCCTTGTGTAGTTATGTGGGAATTCTTCTAATTCATATAAATATATATATATATATATATATATATATATATATAATGAGTTTTAACTAGCAACACTGTACAGTAGCTACAAATAACTGCATTCTGAGCCACAATTATATCTACTCAATACCTTTTAGAATAATTTGAAATATAACTGTTACCACCTACCTAATAAACCACAAATACTTAACTTTGGTACTCATAATACTCTATTGATAAGCATATAGTTGAGCCATCACACACAGCCTCAGTATTGACTTCAGCGGCCAGTCAATACTGAGGCCATGTGCAGAATAAATAAGTAAAAATGAACGATAATCCTAATCTAGAATAAGAATTATTACCATTTATTTTTATTTTTTTAATTCTGAGATTTTCAAATGCATCCTAATACATTTTAATTTTAAAATATCTTCATAAATACAATTCATACAATAAAAACAAAAAGCTGGCTTGGATGATAATGAGTCTGTATACATATTTACTTTATCATGAACTATTGTCATTTTTAGTTTTAGCTGGACACACACACACACATACAGACAACTGCCCTTTATATATGTATAGATTTCTTTTGTACCTCTTCTTGGTTTGACTGAGAACTTTTCAACACCTCTTTATACATTATATATATAATAGTTCTATATTTAGGCAGCAATTGCTTTTTAACACATTTTTGTTCTATATATAATTTTGTTAAAAGCCTGAATACATTGAAATTATATTTTTTTCACAAAAATACAAAAGCATTACCTTTGAATCTTCATAAAAAACTTTGTTTAAATAAAAGTTGCATATAAGGTTGAATGTTTTGGAACTTTACTAAAATTTAAATAAAAATAATTTATAAAATATAAAATAAAATAATTTATTTTATAGGTTAGCTATGAAAAACAAGTAATAACATTTAAGGTAAGTTTGAATCTTATTCACTATTATTGTTTTGTGACACAATAGGCTCCCTATACAATTGGCTTTGAAGACACATGAAGTAAAATGAACTGTGAATGATTTTATCTGGCTCTGAATTGTGGTAGTTTTTATGACTATATAAATAATAAAAGCTATGGCGAAAACTTCAAAGCATCCATCCACTGACCAAAAGAAAATAGAGGAAATAAATAGCTGAAAACTTTCAGGATCAAGTACCACTTGACCGGAAGTTAGGAAGTTCTGATTGCTGTCTTATATTAGCAGAATCAGTTAGAATGGATAGAGAGTTTTAGTTCTTCCATTAGTTTCAAGCCATATGTCATTATGTAGAGATGAGTAGAAAGGTGTTAAAAGAGAGAATTCTCATTTACCGAAAGAAAGATTTGATCTGTTAGTCTATCATGACTGAAGTTAGCAGTTGTTCCAAGTGTCACCCACCAACCCAAAAGACTTTACAAGTGAATACCTGAATAAACACCTAAACATTCATATTTTTATTTCTCATTGTGTTATATCACTTTACATTTTCCTTGTGAATGTACTTTGGGTCTTCCCAAGTTTTTGTGCTTGTTGATGTAAACAAGAATCAAAACACAGCGAGGGGGTAATGTGTCCAGCCAGTGAAAGAGAGAGAGAGAGAGAGAGAGCGAGAGAGAGAGAGAGACTCTAAAGCATATAAGTCTGAAAGAGTCATTTATTTATTTATTCATTAATAGTGAGTGCATGGAAAGTGGAATCAGAGAGCTGGGTTAATTAGTATGGTATAATGGGCTCTCTAGCCATGGGTGGCAACCAATCTAAAAGAAGGAAAATTCTGAATTCCAAACTGTGGAGAAGGTAATGGAGAGCCATTCAACTGTCTTTCCCATGAATGCATGCTTAACAATTCATATATAATAAAGAAATCTTTGGTGAGTAAAGATTACCTACATCCTGGCATTAAAAAAAAGAAAGAAATTGTGTCAGGTATATTTCACTGCAAAGTCATTTTCATTCATTTATTCTTATTCACTTTAAAACTGATAAGCTCTTAAAATCTGAGGGATATCACTATAATGGGAGAGAGCCATGGAAGAATGATTTCTTCTCCCATCTGCATTTTCCTCTTTATGAGCATTATTATATCTGTGATATAACAACATTTCATGGACAGAACAAAAAGACTAAAAGAAAGAGGAATGACAAATAAGTTTTGTTCTCTGAGACTTTTTATACCACTAGGACATGCACAAAACTACATATACATATTTACATGTATCCTACACAGAGAAAAAATTATCACATATACCTACACAGCAAGCAGAGTTAAAGGAGAATGAAAAGATAGGGCCTTGAATATAATATGGAGATTCTTCTGTGTTCCTGGGGAAGCCATGTTTAGGACAGGCTTATATGGGCTGGACTCATCTACTACCTCCCAAGCAAAGACATATTCCATGAATTGGAAACGGTGAGTCCTGGGTTTTCCCAAATTGAGGACTGCTAGCCTTTGGGAATATATCTTCTGGAGAAGATATATTCCCAAAGGGAAATGGTGTCATGGAAAAGCTGCTGTAGGAGGCAGATTAGCTAAACAAATGACTGGTTCCTTTAGCTCCTGTAAACAAACTGAATGATTGGACACTTTCATCACTGTATGAAGTAATATCACTAAATGGCCATCATGTGACCCATGTGACTGATCTTAACCAAAGGGAGATAATCGCCTTTTGTATCTGTACATTAAATTTATTACTTGGCTAATTATTTAATTCTCAAATTAATCTGTTTAATAGATTGAGGCAAACATTTCCGGCATTTTTGTTTTACAAAATCTTTTATTCATATAAATTATGAGGATCATTATTTAGTTATCAGAAAAGATAAGAACATCTATCTGAAATCAAAGATCAAACTGTAGTGTGCATTGACCTTCTCAATCTTTCTCTACTCTGGTGAATCTTTTTTTTTTTTTAAGTGTTTCACCCCAAGCAAGGTAGGAAGCCACTAGGATGCAATGGGTTACAGAAAATTTTGAACAATATCAGATAGGAGTGATAGAAGAAAGGATGAGGGGAAGGGTAGTGGATAGGTCAAGGCAACTGGAGATGTAGATTGACATTACATTTGAATAGCTGGAGATTATAACTCTCAGGGAAACTGGAATAGCGAAGGGAGTTCCACAGGCGAGAAGTGTTAGACATGAAGTGATTGGAGTAGAAAAGACGGCTACATTTAGGAGTTTCGACAGTGAAAGGGTGAAAGTGGGATGCCAGCCTCGTAGGGCGCTTGAACTAACAGCTAAATTACAGTGAAGAATCTGGTTCTGCAGCATCTCATTTCTAATACTTGATGCTACAGAACCATCCTAGAAATTTCCTATATTGACCACATCACAAACAACACAGTAGAAGACACCATCAGACAAGAAGCAGACCCATTGGAAGTCCTCATATTTATTGTCAAGGTGAGAAAATTGAAATTGTATGGACATGTCATAAGAGCAAACAATCTTTTCACTACCATCTTAGAAGGAACCACCTTTGGTAAAAAAAGAGGCAGACAGAGGAAAAAAATGGTCCAACAATATCACTGAGTAGAGATACATATATTGGTATGTAACTGAGGCATATAAAGGTAGCTGGCCAAGTCATCATCATTTTAGCAACCCTACAACCACACACAATCATGGGCCTGATGATTTGATCATGAAAATATTTTCACTATTCTATAAACTTATGTCACAATTCAGGTGCATTTCACCATAAAAATTATATTGATTCAATGAATTCTTTGAGGACTTGTTTCCTATCTTGGACTTGTTGGAACTACTAAGCAGACAAAATATGTTAGGATTGTTTACTCTTATGACATGCCTATACCATTTCAATATTCTCTCCTTGACAGTAAATATGAGGTCTTTCAATGGGCCTACTTCTTGTTTGATGATGTCTTCTACTGTATTATTTGTGATGTGGTCAATATAGGAAATGTTAGGGCTCAATGCATCATATGTGGAAGCTGCCTTATCAGTAGAGCCTAGAATATATTCCCCTGCAGGGAGGTATGACCCCACCAAAAGGAGCCATGGCTTGCTGACTCAGATATAAATGACCAATATTTAGCTATCCCCAAACCAATTAAATACTTACAAACTCAAATACAAATACCCAATGTTTACCTATTTGTGCCCAAAGTAAATACTTGTAGTCTCAAATATATATTACCAAGTAGCATTACCTAACTCCAAACCAAATAAATACTTGCAGACTCAAATGTAAATGCTGAATATTTACTTCTTCCATTTGAAAATGATCTATGACAGCTGAAAGTACTCAGAACATTACACATCATTTCAACAAGTTTCTTTACAAATGTTACATCCTCCCTAAAACAAGGTCTTCTTTTGATTCATGCTACATTAATTTCCACCACTGGCTGGATGTGAATGCTCAGAAACCTAAAACTGAACTAAAATTCAGTTAACTGCACAAGCCTTTGCATATATCTTCCATTTTACTCACACATTCAACGAAAAAAATAAGCAGTAGAATCCAGAATTTGCACCCAATAGCATCCACTCCTGCCTAAAGAAACAAAATAATAAATGGAGCTGATTTGAGCCTAAGAAAGGACATAAAAGCCCATCAAAGGGACATTTTTGGCAATTAGATAGCATCTTGGCCCAGGTTCACAGACTTTGCTGGAAAGCAATCTCCCATCTTCAAAAGACAAAAGTGGTCATCCTAGTAGGTCACAGCACGTCCTTCCTCAACTTCTATACACCTCAGTGGATGCCTTTTATAACTCTGCTTATCTCTTTTTTCAATGAGAGACATTTACACTGTTTTATCATTTGTTTAATTTATGTTAATACAATAGTTTATTTCTTTAAACCTACATTGTTTCTTCTTTGTTCTGCCACCATATGATTATCATATCAACTGGTGTCAGAAGCGTGTAGCAAGAGAAATGAATATAACAACTCACATCAGCAGCAAAGGATTAACGAATTCAACAGAATCAGTAAACAGTTTTTCTCCTTACCAGCAATCATCTCATTTCTGACTTTGCTGAACTTGCCACTCACTGCCTATGAATCAGACAACATGGCAATTAGATCTCTTTCTGATTCATTCAGCATGCCTGCCTGATGTGAATGTCATGAAGTCGTTTTTTGCAGATAAGCTCCAATCATTACATCTGGTTACCAAAGCAAGCCCCTATAATGAAAGTGACAATTGTGAATGATCCTGCCAAAAAGGAGATGTCCCTGAGGACTGCCAAATCTGCTTAAAAGCAGTTGCGAGCCAGCAGACCACCTGCTGACATTCAGGCTGCTGCTACCACCATTGATATGACCACTCCTATCAATGGCTGTTTACCACTTTACACTCCCTGGCTTGACAAATCACCCAATTCTCCACATGCAGAATCCAGAATATTATCTCAACGTTGTCACCAACATTGTCACTTTAGCATCCCACTGCCATCACTTTGGCATACTTGATTCGCTTCCCTTTGCAGTTGTCACCATAGCCCCATTTCATTGAAAAGGCCTATCAATTCAATGTTACCTTGACAATCAATGAATTGACCCACCACTGTGATCTCGATTGACCAACCCAATAAAAAAAAGAAAACATTAGGGAGTAAGAACAATAAAAGAAGAGGAATCAAGAAGACTGTGGATAACAATTGAGATTCCATTCAAATTTTTGAAGATCAAAGTTGGCTGGAAAGCAAGAAACTGAAAGAGAGTTTCAAAAGTGAGAAGTGTGAGAGAAGAAACTGTTAGTAAAGAACTTACAGTTGCATCTAGCCAATTTAACTGTAAATTGATAAGACCTTGTTGCCAATCTAGTATTGCACTTAAATTCATAAAGCCTAGGTACCATAGAGGAGGAAAGTTCATCAGAACAATTACCATGAAAGTATTTCTAGAAAAGGCAAAGAGAAGCTACATTGCATAGTGAGAAAGTGACTGAAGTCAAGATACCAGGTCAGGACCAATAAAATTGCAGATTCTTCTTTTGGATTTTATCAAGAATTTCTAAATATATAGCAGGAGCACCAGACCACATGTGGCAGCAATATTCAAAGCAAGGATGAATAGTAGGTTTATAAATACATAACATAGAGTATATTAGCTATGTCACTATTACATTTTTTTGTATTACTATAGTGTGTCCATGACAAGACTGTCATCAACAAAGTGCAGCAGAAATAGATTCATACTTTCTCAAGGTCATATGTGCAAGAGTGATATAAGCAGTTGAAATATATATGCACTTGTCAATTCTGTTTTCCAAACTAATGGCTGTTGTGTTGCTTCTCACTTCCTGAAACTAAATTACAGTTATTGAGAGGGAAAATAATGACTTCTTACCACTGATTTTAAATTTTAATAAAGGTAGAAGTTATTGCTGCTTTTGCCTAGGCAGTAATTATAGGAAACTTGTGAAAAATGCTGTGCCTCTGAGATTGAAATGAGAAATCATAGCAACAATGTGTATAACAAGTTCAAACGTTTTTCTGTGTACCACACCCCTTCAGGACATAGACAAGCATGGCTCTCCACAACTTCCTATCTTTTGTGGCTTGTAGAATTTTTTCTTCTTTTGTTAAGGCTCCTGCCCCCTGTTCAACCATTCATTCATGCAAGTTAGCCAGGTAAGTGGCTTGCTGCCTTCCACTATCTCTCTTGCTCTTTATTTTCTTTAAGAATTCTTTGTTACTTACTAACTCTGTCCATGGGATTTTCAGTATCTTTCTGTAGAATCACTTTTCTGCTGCCTCTAGTTTTCTCCTCTCCCATGGGGGAGATTGGTCAGAATTCACTGCCATATAAGAGGACGGATGTTATATAACAATCCAGCACTCTTTTCTTTGTTTCTAATGAGATTTTACCATTTTTCAGCACCTTGCTTATCTACTGGAATGCTTCTTTCACTAGTCAAATGCTTGTTTGGTTCTTAGTATTGCATTTTCCATCCTCTGTTGAAACACTTCCTAATTCATCTGAGGTAGTTTCAAAATAATATTAAGTTCAAGCTCCAGGTAGCCATCCCCCTTTGGGAGGTGGCTGGGATCATTACACAATGCCTGACACATCCTCAAAAGGGCCTTGAACAATATTTCCACAGTATAGCCGTTAAACCCACTTTGTCATGACCTTTTGTCACATTCAGTAGCAACGTGGGTGCACTGAAAAATTTACTTCCTAGTTAATTAAACTTCTGCACTTGCTTGATGCTGATATCTCCATTTTGTAACTCACATCTTGGGCTTTTTCTCTTGCTGATGACCATATTTTCTGTCTCCTTGCAGTTGATGGTTAGTCCTTTTTTTCTCACATTCTTTTACAACCCTGTCTAGGATGTCCTGTAGTTTTTTTTTCAAGTCTCTTTGGATAACATTGCTTTAGGGGTTGAATAAATCTGGAGAGAAGACACATCCTTGTCTTACATCACTTTCTATTTTTGTGTAGCGAGGCAGTTCATCTTCTCTCCATATACAAGCGGTTTTCTCCCAATACAAATTCTGCATTATTCTAACATCCTTTTCCAAATAGATCTAGCTTTCCTAGCAGTTTAAATAGATCCTTGTGCCACACTTTGTCAAATGCTTTTACCAGAATTCATGCCAGTGATGAGAAAGTAGAGATGTTATTGTTGATAATGATGGACTACACCTGATTGACCTGAATAGGAGAATGGATTGCCCATCTACATATACTCTCTCTCTCCATTAATTGCCAATATCAAGATAACTAACAACTTTAAGGAAAAAAAACTATGACAAAGTCAAAAAAGATTTTATGTGATGTGTTTTGGACTTTTGAACTTCATTGAACTAAAGTAATGTTTACATTAATGCGACTACACATGTACATAGAAGAAAGAGGACACTGAATTGTTTTTTTTAAAGATTTTCTGGATATATAGTCTAGCCAATTTCATCTAGTTTCTTTTTCTTCATGTTTCTATCATTTGTTATTAACATAATATTAATGTTATTAAATATTTATATTATTGTGATAATAGAAAACCTGTCAAGAAAGGTGAAATGTTGTAAGAACTGGGTTGTAAATTTACTGTTGATGATCCAGTAAAATTTTTTTCCACTTTGTCATAGTTTTTTTTCCCTAAAATTGTTTTTGATATGTAGAAATTTATATGTTGTTTTCCCATAACTAACAACAAAATATCAATTAAAAGCATTTCAGTCTCTTTCTGTATATAATAAGAGATACACTTTAAAATTACATCCAACTGAGGTAAAAAAAAAAATTCTAAAATAAAATGTCAGTATCAAAAAATAATTAAAATGTAAATTAATTGTAAACTTGTTTTTGTTTTCATGCCTTTCAGTCCAAATATGCTTTTGGAAGTTATTTTGGATCAGCCCTTGCAGCTGTTGATTTGAACAATGATGGTAAAGAAGATTTGGTTGTGGGTGCCCCTTACTATTCAGAAAAATTTGTAGAAGAAGGTCGAGTCTATATTTTTTTCTTTTCTGTTCATGTAAGTATAATAGTATACATCTATTATAGTGGATGTTTACAAGTGAGAGGGGAAATGGGATGTGCTTAGTTTAATACTACACAGCATTTCAACTATTGTGTGCACCAGCCTTCTTCAGGTGTTCAGATAACCTTCAGAGAATTTCAAACTAAACCCTCTATTTAATCTATAGTGGTAGATTGTTCTTGTTCCATTGTCCATCTTTAGGGATATCTTTTCTTGTTCTTTATTAGTACTGCTCAATCAATTCTTGTCCTGTGTCCACTGCATCTAAGTTCTCACTACTCAAACTAGGGATTGAATTCCTAATTACCTATGCAACCAAATTCATGAACAAGCACTATAAGACTCAGACTCAGACTTGGTGGAAACAGAGTGAACAATAACTGAGCAGTATTAAAATAAGAATAAGACAAGATATCTGTAAACATGGACAGTGGAATGAGTTCAGTTAAAAGTTCCCTGTTGGCTATTCGGATTGACAGACACCTAGAGAAGGCTGGAGGGTACAATAACTGAAATGCTGATTTAATACCAATAAAGAGGAAGACATTAATCCATATATAAATAATGATAATTCCTCATCCAGAAATTCAAACAAAGACTGAATATATTTATCAAATTATAAACTGTTTCATAGTTTTGCTTACAGATCATTTTCCCCTTTTATTTTCTTTATTTTTATCCACTCCACAATTGAAAATATTATCTTTTTGTTATTTATTCTTTTTTTATATTCTGAATGTAATTCAATTTATTTGTTACATCAATAACTGCACCCCTTCTTTTAACTTCAGAGACTAAAAAGTACTGCAAGCATTATTCTGTCAGCACCAAGTTATCGAGGTCAATTTGGAAAGACACTTGCTTCAGGAGACTTCAATAATGACAGGTATTCAGGTACATTATTCTTACAGTAGTCTTCTTCATATTCTAGAAAACAAACCTGAAAAACTATGAACAGTAAATGTTGTTAATACAGTTTATAATAAACAGAGCATTTACTTAAATTCTATATAAATAATGTATAACAATAAAATATATTAAAACACTAATATGCATACATATATATATATATAATATATATATATATATATATATATAAAGGATAACAAATATAATATATAAATATTTTGTTTCCCAAAAATAGTATTTCTGGAAGATAATGGTTTCAAGGCAAACAGCTTTTGCAGTTAGTGATTAATGTCAAGAGATAGATCATTAATAGGAACAAATTAAATTAAATATTAATAAATAAAATTAAAATTAAGTGTAAGTAATTTAAATTAAGTTTAATTTAATTTAAATGTAAGTAAGTTAAATTCAGTTTTACACTCAAGGCTTTTGATGAGTGGATACATCTTTGCTAAACAGGTAGTCACATAGATAATCTTATTTGTTACTATCAATCAAAAATTACATTGTAAAGATGTGCCAAGGCAAGTCATTAATGATGTTCTCTGGTTTCCTTGTGAGTTTCGGGATTGACACATAATACTTGCTCCACCCAACCTGCTTCTAAAGATCACAGGCCCTCACCTCTACAAATTTACATCCTCAATATAACATTTAATTTAAACAGTTATGCCATGATACACCAGATAATCAAGTCATTTCATGAGTGCTCACTTGATATTATTATTATTATTATATATGATGTGGTACTGAAAAGCCCTTTGCTCAAACAAGAAAGGCTTTAAAAAATAATTCTAATGGTTGTTCAGATTTTGTGAAGTGGATTGGGTCAAGAAGTTTTCAGCACTCCTCAAAAGTTAAATTGAGCTGGGGAGAAGTGTGGTTGTTGGAGTAGAAGAGGCAGTTATATTTAACTGTTTTGACAGTAAAAGGGTGGATTTGAGATGCCAACCTAGTAGCACGTTTAAATTCATATAGTCAGGACACCAATGAAAAGAGCTCATCAGAGTAGATGCCATGAAAATATTTATAGAAAAGACAGAGGAAAGCCACATCACGTCCGTGAGAAAGTGATTGGATGCCAAGTCAGGACTGATCACAATGCATATCCATCTTTGGATTTTATCAAGAACATCGAAATGAACAATGGGGACACCAGACCATATTTGACAACAGTATTCCATGCATGGATGACTGGTAGATTTGTATATGTAAAGGATGGATTCAGACGGGAAAAACCTTCTTGTGTAGCACAGAGAACCGAAGAATATTTTTCTCAAGGAAAGTTTAATATAACAGTGTATTTCATCAAGTATACATACATTAAGGAGATGGAGAAGACAGAATTCAAAATCATGGATACAACCTAAGCTACCCCAATTTCTTTTAAACAGGAGTATAGGTTTATCCCTTGTTTCCAGTTTAGAATTGGGTTTTTGGTTCCTTCTGAAGTCTTTTCCTTTTCTTTCACTTCCAGTAGTCTACACCAAACCTAGACTTCTAACTTCTTTGCCTAAACTTTGAAATTTTTTCATTTCTTTTCTACAACTTAATAAATATTATCAACACTGACCTTATATAATCCTTTGCTATTTGTTTTTTTGTTTTTTTCAAATCTCTGTTTTTGTGATTTCATAATAAAATATTTTTTTAAATTTTTAGATGTTATTGTTGCTGCACCGTATGAAAATGACGGATCTGGCACTATTTATCTCTTCAGTGGACATCGATTTGGTCTTCACAAAACTTTCTCCCAAAAGATTCAAGGGAAAGACTTTAAACAAAACATTCTATCTTTTGGGATTTCTTTCTCTCGGACAGCAGATATTGATTTCAATGGTTACCAAGGTAATTTTCTGTTTATTCTTTGTTCATTACTGAAAGTGATGTGTATTACTAAACATTTCAGATACCTAAGTGTATGGATCAGCTATAACAAATTATAGGAGAAAAAGAAATTGAACATAGAATAGGCTGTGCCAGAGGTAGTTTCCTCCAACACCGCAAGTTGCTACAAAACTAAAACATCAACCTGAAAACTCAATTCATTGCCTTGTCTGTTTGAGACTTTCATATGGATGTTATGCATGGCACCAAACCCATTCAGCAATATCTCAATTGTCAGCTATATACAACTGCTTCTTAAGATCAATGGCGAAAAAAGGCTTTGAGTGAGTGAACCCTGAGGGTCTTGGCAAAGATTATCCTTCTTTGAACATTGTAGACTGGCACTATAGAATTACAAACAAATAACAGAAACCACATCACTTGAGGACTACCAACAGCAGCAACAGCTAAAATGGATAGCAGATGTAATGTGAAGAGAAAATAATGACATAATCAAGATGTTAATATTACATACAAATTCAAATAGAAATTGGACAATTAGCCTGTAATTTTGACTTAAAGAATGCAGTTTGAATTAAAAGAGAAAATAATTTACTCAGGCCAAAATGTATTGAAAGTGCACTAATATCTGAGTTTTCATGGTAAATTTGCATACATTTCACCTTTCATAATACAGTGTAACCCGGATATAAGAGAGTTGTCGGGACCGGAGAAGAAGTCTCTTATATCCGGGTTTCTCTTATATCCTGGTTTGGTCTATTTTGTTTAGGTAAGTATGGGAACACTTTGGGACCAGAGAAAATCTCTCTTATATCCGGGTTTCTCTTATATCCGGTTACACTGTAAAACTACTGCAATTGTGATTTGGGATATTTAAAAACAACAATGATAAAAGCAAACACAAGACATTGGGAATACAAATGAAGTCAGCTGCATTTTGGACACCAGAAATTTAAAATTTAAACTTAAAGTTTAATGTACCAACATATTCAGCATTTCTCTCAATGTATAGTTATAACTTTTAGAAACTTGTTCAGATTTTCATACTCTCCCACTGCATATATATAATCCTATCAATAAGAACATTATTTTAGTCTGATGAAGTTCTTTTAAAGGACAAAACGTGTTACATAGGAAGTTTTCCACTTTAACATTGAATTAGAAATGTTAACAGAAGATATACCAAAACTAAACATGAAAAAATGATCACAATTTATCAGACAAATATTTTCAAGTCAGAAGAACTTTTTAGGCTTAGATTTTTTTACAATCTAATTATGCATAAATACGGTTACTTATTAATTACTGGAAAATGTGATACATAGTTACTTATCATGCTACATAGAACCAATCAATTAAAAGTTTACAGAAAATCTACCAACAAAAATAATTTCCTAAACTATTATTCTCATCACTGCAGCAGAATAAAATCTGGAATAATCATAGGATTTTATTTAAGGGCACTAAGAATCTACAGCCCCCATCTGAAAAAGAAATATACATAGAAAACACCTTTGAAAACCTCCAGTATCCTTACTATTTCATCAACAATGCCAAGAGAAAGGCATACAACATCTACAACTACAAAAAGATAATAACATCAACAATAACAACAATGATAATAAAGTAGATACAAACAGACATATAATACTACCTATTAATTCCTTAACATCAACTGTCCAAAACAATTTATTCAATCTTAACAATATCAAAATAATTACAATCACATCTAAAACTATTATGAGATATGATCAGAACCAAAGATACCCATAACAATAATAATTCTGAAGCAGGTTTATATAAAATAAATTGTCAGAACTGTTTGTTACAATATATTGGGGAAACTTTCAGCAATAAAAAAAAAATGTATCTAAAAAAAGAATTTATACATGACAATTTATCAAATGCATTAGTTATACATGGAAATAAATTTAACCACATTTCAATCTAAAGAATGCCACACTTATTAAAAGAGAAAATAACTTACTTAGATGGAAAGTTCTTGAGTGTGCCACTATTGAACCATGTCAAATGTTGACCTTCACCTTGGATTTTTTCCAATATCATTTTTCCTAAAAGAAGTACCTCTTTCCCAAGTCAACATACATGACCATGTAGAGGACCATTAGTTGATATGACCTCTCAATTTATATTTAACGCAAAATACCACAAAATATGAAACAAGAAGAAAAAACACAAAGGGTTTTATAACAACAATATTTATATTTATATTTGTATAATGATATACAAAGAGGTTGCTATTTTTGTTGGTGTTATGTCCCTTTGACTGAATTAAAGTTTTTACTAATGAAATTGAAATATTTTTATCTGAGCTCACAAAAGTTGAACTTGTCGCTCAAAATGTTCACTGTTAGAGAGTTGAAAGAATTATAAAGCTGAGAAATGCTGAATAAACTTTTAGCTTTAGAAGAGTATTTTAAAGAGTAAAGTTCTTGTTGCTGGTTTGGAAATGTTTCATATCTTTGTAATGTAGTTCGGAAAATTTTCTACATACATGCATGTGTGCATGTGTGAATATGTTTTCATAAGCATCTGACCACACATGGTCAAGACACGAATCCTTTAAGGTTACATTTTTGTAGGCAAATGAAGAAAGAAAGGAAAGAGAAGGGAGAGAACGAATTTGTGTCTGATATTTATAATTAATTTAATCACATGGTAGGATCCTGGAAAAAGAGTGGGAAAACTTGACTTGGTCACACGCTGGAAAAAGACTTGTACATGGGTGGATTGCAACACCCACTTGTGTTTTTATTGACCAATTAGAAGTTGAGATTTCTTGAAAATATGTATGAAGCTAGGTAAGTTCTTTGATCCACTTTTTGCACACATTTGTACAAAATTCAACATTGATAAGAAAGTGGTATCAGGATGCTAAAATCATAAATATTTTGAAAAGTAAAAGAAAATGGTTAAATCAAATTATTATTATTTAAAATAAATAAATACATAAACTAAAATAATGTATAATAATTACATTAATAAATTAATAAAAATGTAAATAAATATATATAAACAAATAAGAAAACAAAAAATTAACAACATCAATAACAACATTTACTCACTTTCATTATTTGGCATTAAATTACATCACTTAGCATTCTTCATAGTTTACATTGACTTTCACAGTTAGCCATAAGAATATTTTAGAACATTCTTAAATTTAATCATTTTGAAAACCTAATGATATTTTTACTTTTGTTTATAAACACATCTTACAAGATAACATCCATAAATTGACCCATTGATAAAATCATTATTTATCTAAAGTATGACCTTCTCAGGACAAAACATATTATGTAGGAGTTTTACCATTTGTCATTAAATCACCCATTATAAATTGCTCTATATAGCTGAACAACTTTATTCATCTATTCTTCATAATTCTTTGAAGATCATTTCTTAATATAATATTAAAACTTAAATGCTATAAAATTGTTTTTTTTTTCTTCCAGACATTGCTGTGGGTGCCTACTTGTCTGACACAGTCTTTGTCTTCTATGGACGTCCAATTGTGCAAATAAAAGGATCTTTGAAAGCTGAGCCCAAAATTCTGTCTTTATGCACAAATTGTTGGCAAGACAATAAATCTATTTTTACATGGCTTCAAGCAGAAATAAATCTTGGAAAAATGGATCCAATGAGTAAGTATTGTGTGTACTTCTTTACTTATAAAAGCAGCTTTTTTATATAATCACAGTCATTGTAGTGACCATCTTTAGCAGGAGGATAGATTACATTAGATATAACTCACAAACACACACACAAAGAGCTGCAGAAATTTCTTGATTCAAACAATTTCTTAAAATATGATCAAATAACCAATGAAATAACATCTGATTTGCATTTTTTGAAAGGATTCTGACTAAGAATGTTTTTCAACACTCCATATATATATATATATATATATATATATATATATATATATATATATATAAAATAGGGCGTGTTAAAACACTAATATTCCATGGTCATAATTTATTCCATTGGAATCGTAAATACGATCCAAATCATCAGACCTACAAATTCAAAAATCTTTATTCTTAATTTATTCTTAATTTAATCCATTGGAATATTCAAAAATCTTTATTCTTAATTTATTCTTAATTTATTCCATTTACGATTCCAATGGAATAAATTATGACCATGGAATATTAGTGTTTAAGCCTTTTTATTATATCCTTACTCTGTCCTAGACATTGAGTTCTACCTGGATCCTTCCTCTTGGAAAATTTTTTTTTTTTTTTTTTCTGAAAATATACATGTATGGGAATTTTTTATATATATTTTGCATATGTATGTATATTTTCCACTAATATTATCTATATATATATATATATATATATATATGTATATCACACATTGAGTGCTGGTGTTAATAAAATAGTGCTCAATGCAAAATAACTGAGCTAAAAATTATAAATAAAGTTTCACTTTTATTTAAGCTTCATCAGGAATTTCTCATAAAGCTTAAATAAAAACAAAACATGATAAATTTATAAATGTTTCCTATTTGTTCCTTGTCCTACCATATATATATATATATATATATATATATATATATATATATAAAATCATCTGAGAGACTGCTTTCTGCCTTCTATCAGTATGGCTGAGTCTAACCTCCAGGTGAGTGATTCATTGTGTCTTCTTGGACTAACATTTTCTGCTGACATGAAATGGAAAGATTATATTGAATCTGTTACTAAGTCTGTTGCTAGAAAAGTTAGTTCACTGTCTCGTATGAGACAATTTTTCTCTCTGGAATCTATCTTACATATTTATAAGTTTAGCATTCATCCATGCTTTGAATATTGCTGTCACATCTGGTCTAGTGCTTCTGCTATATATTTAGAGATTCTTGATAAAATACAATGAAGAATCTGCAATATTACTAGTCTTGACCTGGTATTTCACCTTCAGTCCCTTTCCCACCACCATAATATGGCTTCCCTGTGCCTTTTCTACTAATACTTTCATGGTAATTGTTCTGATGAACTTTCCTCTATGGTATCTAGACTTTATGAATTTAAGTGCAGTATTAGATTGGCAAGAGACACTGGAAATTTTTAAATTTAGAAAGAATTTTTTTTTTTTTTTTGCATGCAATCTAGCCAATTTCATCTAGATTCTTTTCTTTTTGTTTCCATCGTCTTTGTTATTAAATATACCACATTTAATAGCAAAGATCTTCTGTTATCACAGTATGGAATATTTAATAACAAAGATTCCAACTTCTGTTTTCTTGAAACACAAATCAGATTACTCACTTGTTGCTGAATAGTAGAAGTTATACGTGTTCATGTTATACTGTTGCTGAAAAATGAACGAAAGGCATCTGCTGCAGTGGATTAACATCAAGTCCTGTGTGAAGATTGGTAAAAGTCCGAGTGAAATGTTAGTCCTACTAAACATTTATGGTGGAAATGCTATGAAGAAATCAAGTGCTTTTGAGAGGCACAGGTGGTTCAAGGAAGGGTGAGAAGATGTCCAGGATGGCACAAGAAATTGGCAGCAAAAACACAAAAAACATATGCAAATGTGAACAGAATGTGAACTTTGGTATGCTAAGATTAAATATACAACTGATAGCAGAAGAACTGAACATAAATAGGGGGACAGTGTGATAGATTCTAACAAAGGATTTAGAAATGAAAACATTTTGATTTTGATCTTAACTTTCATTATTAACAGACACTAGACAATAAATACATCTCAAAGATGATCACATTAGATATTTCAAAAGCTTTTGACAAAATCTAGCATAGAGGGCTGCTGCACAATTTCTTCAGCTATAGAATCATTGGAAGACTCATTTAAATTATCAAATCCTTCCTAATGAGGTCCAAGTGATCAATTCAGGTGTCCCCCAGAGATTCACTGCTCAGTCCAACCCTCTTTCTACTTCACATAAATGATCTGCCTCTAATTATTTGTGAATATCTATGCTGATGATACAAAAGGTATATGGGTGAACCTCCAAAACTCTAGATGACCAAAGAGTAGCAGCAGATCTCTCCTCTGACCAAGCTCTAAATTTTAGATGAGATTAAAGAATAGAAATAAACCAAATGTTATGCCATTGTGTGTTTCTTCTCCTAATTTCAGTTTCAAATGTTTGAATTTTCTAACTAGATATACCTAGTAATACATTTTAAGGTGTTAATTAATGTATCATACTTTTCTGTTTGATATGACTATTATATTTCTATATATTAATAAACTATGAAAATAAAAAAATATTGTCTTTCATTAAGAATGAAAAGAGAAAATTTTATAAAAAACAAGAAAATCAAAATATAAACAAACTTGTGAGTAAAACTGAGTCTATTTGCAATCTTGTTCTTTCAAATAAGAGCTGAGTAAAAATGTCTGAAAACGTGTGTACTTGTGTACATGTGTACTTGTGTACATGTGTGTACTTGTGCATAATACAATAGCAACTTTTTGCCTTTAATTTTCATTCAAAATTTCTCATGTTATACACAAGAAAATAAAATTGTCTTTTTTGTTTTCAATAGTATATGACACGTGGGGAATATTCATTAATGAAATAAATCACTGTTTTTTTTTCTTCACACTTCCCCTTGATTTTATTGTTAGAAACACACATTTAGTAGCATAAGTGAACAAATGAAATTTCTGGACAATTGAAGCAAGAAGAAGACTTTATTTGTCCAAAAATATTTTTATTGTTGCCTAAGAGGATCAAGGTGGAATGTCTCTTTGTGAGCAAGGTGAGGTAGATGACTTAGAGGAAGAGAAGAGTTGGTAGTGCTTGGAGCTGATGTGTGCATTGGGTCAGTTGACTGAGGTCACTGGTAGTGACAATGACAGCTTGCCTGTTTGTGCTGTGAGTGGCATTCTTAAATGTCAATGAGGTGGAACATGACATCCTTTTTTATCATGTTTTGCTTTTTGGCAACATTTTTGATTGGCTCCTTTTATACTGTATTTAATATATATATATATATATATATATATATATATATATATATATATATATATATTATGGGGATTTGTTTTATGCACAGGTTGTGATACTTGAAGCCTCTGCATAGAGAGTGAAATTTTTATTTTTGCTTTTTTAGTGTTCACATTCAGCTGACATGTATAGTGAATCAAAATTTGAAGCAGAGTACAACATTATGATCAC